CGTATTACACAGTTAAAACAGAGACGAGGCAATTAGGTAGATTATTCCACACAATTAGGTTTTCTAGGCTCTCGGGCATAGAGCATCCCTAATAGAATGCGAGTAATCCCCAACAAAGCGAACGTGAGAGGAAAACCCCCAAAAACCCACCACGAGCGAAAAGCCAAGGTACTCACCGTTTTCCTGGCTCCTCTACCTTCCAAAACGCGACTGGACGCCACAGGGGGTCGTCCTCCGTACCCTGATGTGAACCACCACGCGCACCTTGATTGCGCAATTATTAGTTTTCCCCTCGCGCGCTAAAATAATTCAAATTTAAAATCTATGTCGGGGTGGAACATGTTTATCCGATTTTCCCTCTTTTAATCCTCCAGATAGACCTTAACAAACCCTGAATTCTTCGAAACCGAACACGAACGTTCTCTAAATTCTGTTGCTTTTTGGCAATCTCTGTAGGCCCTTCCACCTCAAGCCAAAATGAACCCACCCTAAACCACAATTTTTCGGGAGCGTAATCCTCGAGGTGGTTTCGATCATCTCGGACTTCAGCAAGTTGGCCTCCGGTATCCCGACCCGTTCCTCCACGCTCTGTATCATTTCGTGGCCTAAGTTTGGTTTCATTCAAATCGCGCATCCGTGGACCCTGGCCGTCTCTCCACAACCTAGCTTCCTAAGCAACCTCAGGCCTTTCCGCTTTCATTCCATTCGTCATCGACTTCAGCCTCTCATGCGTAGTTTCCATCGGTACTTCGGGCATCGTCTCGTTGAAGGGTTTTACGGCTCGTTTCCTATTTTTCGCTTTTGTGTTGTCGCGAGGACGAGTTCCAACTCCACTCGTCCTGCCCTTTCGTTCTCTTGATGTTGGATATCTATGAGATTTTACGATTTTCGATATTGTGCGGTTTACTAGCCTCAGGCAAGGCAGGGCACTCCACCTTCTTATCCTCGCTGCGGTTCATTCGGTTTTCATTAGCTTTTGGCCGATCCAATCGGTGGGAATAGTCGGATGCGAGTATGGGAACGGGCAAAGGTAATACTTATCCTCGATCTCTGAGACGAGATTAGGAAAAATGTTACGGTGCTTATACTTATATACCTTCTAAGACATCCGTAACGACTGACGTAATTGCATACCTATCCAATTTATAATCTGCCAGTGAATTATCAAATTGTACTTGAAATTCTTTACTATGTTGCTAACAAAGTAACCATAATCAATGGATTGAAGGTGAAAAATAAGGCCGCCAAGTTGATTTTTTTCCGAATCAATTTCCTATGGACGGGATTTGAAACAGTATATTTTGTCATCAAGACGAAAAAAAAATTTCTAGCTGATATGAGTTGTGTAGCATGTTCCTTGAAAAATTTTTTTTGCACGAAGGACGCCCATCATTTTTTGTCATAACGGCTTATGCACAGCTTTGCAAGCGCGCTGCACAGCAACGCAGGCATGAAACACTTACTTACGGCCAGAATGATAAAAACCTTTATTAACGCTAATCGACTTTATGATGAAATTTTCTCATCACTTTTTTTTGTGATGAGATTTTCTCATCTCGTTTTTTTTGTAACAAGATTTCCCCATTTTATAGTGCAGGGCACTATAAAACGTTCATTAGGGCATCGGACGACAGCCAACCAGGCCGCTCCGAAGGTGAATGATGTTGTTTGGTTGTGGATTTACTCGTGATTGGGCGGATTAATTGAAAAACACTTGTCTTCTTTGCTGTGATATTTTCTTATATATTCTAAACTTCTTTTTACATCATGTTACTTTGACCTCTGTTTCTTGACAGCGCCTTCTTTAGAGAAATCAGGGTATTAACTTATGTGTCTGATGATATCAGGTGCTCAAAAAGGAATCACTAATATCGTGACAGACCAATCCCTTAGTGGGAAAAAATGTGCTAGGCTGGGTACGACCCCTAAATATTACAGAAATGTAATTCATCTTCGTTCCTCAGTTCAGTTGGTGATTGAGATGAGGCGGAATGAGGTCTCAGCATGCCTCTGCATTTTGTTTTGAGCGAAAAGGGCAAAAAATTATTGAATGATAATAATTATTTATTCATTATTAAGTAACGAGTCCATCCTCAGACGAAAACAGTGACTTGGAGGTGTGTGTAACATTACTCCATTCAGAAGTGCAATTGTTGTGCAGAAACAACGTCGGACGTTAAAACTGGTAAGATTTAATTCCGTTTCGTTCTTCTCAATGATTCTATGTTGTATATTATATTCATTGTTGTTCATCATAGGAGCTCTTTTGTCTGTCGATGAGCATTCTCATGTGGCCAATCCTACGCGGATTAGCGTCAAAAAGATGCTAAACAAAATAAAGAAACATGCGAAGGGTAATAATGAGTCTCCCAATATTGTTGTTGGCGAGTTCATTGCTGGAGCATGAACAAGCACTATTGCGGAATTGCCTAGTATTGTAGCTATGAGGAAAAAAGTACAACGTAAGCATAATTCACAATTATTGACACCCCCATCGTTGAGTGAATTACAAATATCAAATGAATTCCAGTTGACCTCGAGAGGGGTTAATTTTTTATTATACGATAGCGGTGGTCGGTCGAGTCGATTTCTTGTTTTTGGCACCGTGGAGAATTTGCGGAGACTGGGTTCCTGCCGTAGTTGGATGTCCGACGGCACGTTTTTTTCAATCCCGAATATATTCATTCAACTCTGGACCATCCATGGTGGTTTAATGAGAGATGCGGACAAAGTTGGAGAGCATAAATTCAAATCGGTACCTTTCGTGTACGCATTACTTCTCTCTAAAAGACAAACCGACAACAAGTGTCTTATTGATATGGCTGACGGTAATTTGGAGCCAGAACTGTTGATCACGGATTATGAGGATGGTTTCATTTCTTCAGATTAAAACGTTAATTGCCCTGTCATTTGTTGACCTGACCCTGTCAGGTCTCCAGATACCAATGTCGCATGGGCCTCGAGATGTTTAGCACCTTGAAGGGTCGAGCCGCCCTGGAGGAGAGTGGCAAACATGTGAGGGATGACAACCTCGCTCCGCAAAAGTCCTGGGGAGCGATTTTGCGCGTTTATTCTCGACTAAAAAATAAAATTTTGCTCCCGTTAGGTGGCGTTTAGGGGCTAATTTTCAGTGCATTTTAGAACACGTGAAAGTTTAAGTTGTGAGGGGGGGAGGGGTCTCAATGAAAACATTCAAAATGGCTACTGGGTACACATTAAACGTGCTCCAAAATGAAAAAAATGCTCCGCTGCACTGTTAACTAAAAAATCAATTGATTTGTGGATTGCGGATTCTAGTTTAATCATACTCTCATAATTAAACATCTGTTAATAGTCACTCAGTGCAGTGCCAGGCAATACATAATCATTGCTCCGTTTTTGGTAGCATCGCAGAGTGGGACTTTTCCATCAAAAGGTTTGGACTGTGGCCTAAGAAAAATTGGAATAAAGCAAGTCCATAAAAAGAGTGTGAAAAATACATTAGAGGCGTGACGAAGCTTGAATTAATATCGGTGGGAGAGCAATTTTAATCCAGGTATCGTTCAACTCTTATAAAAATTTTTTTCCTCTCGTATACACTTTCGGGTCTTTATGATTTGTTCCCTTCCCACCCCCCAAACCCTCTCTACCGCATTTACCGAAGGGAGGGAAAAACCTCATTTGAGGGGAAAAACCTGCCCTGGTACAGTCGTCCTTTTGACAGGACTACCGCTCGACAGTGAAACTGTGAGATTAGAGCGCTATAAATTTTGACCGCCGGTGCCCGGGATCGAACCCGGATCGTTGGCATGCTGGTCTAGCACTCTAAATGCACGGCCACTACCGTCGGTGTTCAACTCTTATATTAAATTTTGTTATAGTTTCACTTAGTCAAATATTTTTTTTAAGACAATATTTGGTATTTCATTCACAAAAGGATCATTTTTATTATCTTCAAATCTTTGTTATAAAACATGAATAGAGTTTCAGCAACGCTTGATTATTACAAGGAAACTGTCTGACATCTTCCAATTGAAACTGTGTTGGTTACACCGTTTTCCAGTAGTTTGGGCCATAAGGCTCAAAAAAGTAACTTAGAATATTTAAAAAGGGGCTGGCATTTGGACATTGAGAATTCAAACTGATAACTTCTTCAAAATGAATATTTTCTTTGGGGCTAAAGGAACCTTATTTAGAATCAACAATTTTTAATTTCTAACCTTTCTACAGATTCAAGTGCAAATGTATAAACAGAAAAATAAAAACATTGAACATCGATTACTGTTAGTGGATATTCGATTTTCGCGCCACTTTTCATAATGTTTCTGAAAAAAAATTGGAATTGAACAATTTCTATTTACGTAAAAATTAAAAATAATCGTTCATTCGACGTAGTCATTTTGCACAGTAGATTGATTCCATAAACAGTTTTTCATCGCTAAAAGATGAAAGTGTCAGCAATGATAAGAATTTTGGCGCGTGTATCACCAATAATCACTGTTTAATCTTTTACTATTTATTTTGTGACAAGTAATTAATAATCACAATGTACGTTATGTAATGCATAAAAATGGGAAAACCTTAAAAAATGGTGATTGGTGCCAGATAAAAAATAATTCTTTGACAATTGCAAAAAACGATCGATTTTTTCCGGTTAGGTTCCTATTTTCCAATTGTCGATTTCTCATAATATCTGGGCCTTCTATGAAATTAATAAAATCTTATTCTCGGGGCATTGTTTTTTAGGTAATAAATTTATTAATTATTAACCATAGTTATTCCATGAAAAAATTATCGATAATTTCGTGACGAAGGTGGCGTCTTCGTAATAAATCGCTATTGCGATGATCAATATCATGGAATTGAAGAATTTCGGGGCCCATGTTAAAATCAGCTTCATTTTCATCCGCCATCTCGTCCACGTCGTCATTTTCAATCCTGTCAGTTGAAGAAATCGAATTAGACCAAGCCAAAATGTTCCATTTATCGTGCAGTTTTCATTTACCTATTTTCAATGATATAATTATGAAGAATTGCACAATTCTTGAAAAACTCCACGACTTTTTCTGGCTCATATGAAAATATTTGGTCTCTGTGAATACACCTGAATCGCCCCTTCATGGCCCCGAAGACTCGTTCAATTATTGACCTCGTTGTGCAGTGACGACCAGTATATCAGTATTCAGGTGTATTTTCAGCTGCATCTGCAATGGGGGTAAGAAGTATGGGAGACAATGAATATCCAGCATCTCCTAGAAACGATATTTTTTTGAATCTAGGATATTTTCAATTTACAGAGAATCTACAACAAGTGATGAAGAATTCCAGGATATAGAATATCTGGATTACATCACACCGGGAGAGGAAGACGATGCATCAATGAGAAGTGCGAACTAGAAGAGAGACGTGCCATACTTTTTGATCTACATGATAACGCAATTGCGAAGACTGAATTAATTCTGTGTTATTAATAATATTGTTTCACGTTAAGGATTTGACGTGCATTATTATTGTATCTCACATATTACGTTTTATTAATTGATAAGAAATAAGAAACGTAGAAAAAGAAAAAAACATAAATGTTAACATAAAATGGAGAATTTCCTTACCGAGCAAAAAGTAAGTGCCTTCAGAATTTTGATTTACTCTCTCCATAGTTTCTTTCACAGCAGATTCACGCCAGATTCTGGCATCATCGGTTCTTCCATTATAGGCACAGATTGAAGTCACTCGCATTTTAGAATCGCAAGTAAGCTGAATATTTAAGGAGGAACTACCTTTATCATTTTTATATTGCCAAGGCTCTGCTGAAGGGGCACGCATTAGCACATGCGTACAGTCGATGCAACCGACTACTTCTAGGAAGCAACACTCCTTTCAAACCTATAATCATCAATTAATTCATCATCCAACATGTCCTGTTAATTACAATGATCTTCACTAATTTTTTACCCTTGAGAAATTTCTTGAAACTCCTCTTCCGCTTCAGAAAATTTTATATATTCATCTGATAGCGTTTCGATTGCATCTGTCACATTTGAAATTATTTGACTAATCATAAATTGAGACAGACCAAAGAATCTAGAGTCCCCAATAGATGCTTAGAATTCTCCCGAAGCCTAAAATTTTAATGTAACAAGGACCTGAAAATAAAACATATGTTTATAAATCATCAATAAACAATATTCAATACCAATTTATCTACTTGGATCCACTTCGCGACAGATGATGTCGGACTTTCATCAGGTAGCATGGGCAAAATGCAACGAATAATCCTTGAGGCTAACTCTTTGGTGAGCCTGGTTAATAAATTTTCCAAAATTTTTAGAATATCGTCACGTTTCTATAAATTAATTGGAATCCTGTGCCATAAAATATGTATAGAAATAGTATAAAATATAATGTTACCTGAATCGCTTAACAACGGAAATCTCATTTAGAGTGAGAAATGGATTTTGTGAATTTCACATTTCAGCATTTATCGCTCTATTTTCTAGAATTCTAGCACGCTCCTGTTCTCCTTCAAGAGCCCTCACTGCTTCATCCGCTGTAGGAAGTGCAGCCACATTTCTCGGAAACACGAATATATATGTGGACTTATATCAAGTTGAAACTAAAACAGCACAAATATTATCAGTGGACGGAAAAATTACTAATTTTTTAATTTTTATATTGTTGTATTGACCAAATTATTGGTAAACCACTTGACTGAATATATGGTCAATATGACTTACCACTTAAAAATTCCGTATCGATATTCAACTATTTAATTTTCACTCTGATGCTCACTTTTGGATGTGTGCTTGTATTTAAAAATTCTGCCGCTCAGTCGTTCCTAAACTCACACACGACGGGTGATATTTTGCGCTCCCTGGCGGGAGCAAAATTTTGATTTTTAGTCGAGAAAGAACGCGCAAAATCGCTCCCCTGGAGAATACGTCTCCCAATTGTTCTCTCTTAACGACTCCACAGATGTAGCTGAACTCGGTAACCACAGTTAGTTAGACGTTTGTGAACCTCGCCCACTCTACTGTGATGCTTGCTCGGCATTGTGAGACCCGTCACCAACAGTCCGCGGAGTAGATGAACTTCCTTCGCGGTTGCTTTTCTATATTTTATCCATGTTCTCTTGTAGGTACGATTAGTGAACAATTGTTGGATAAAGAACACAAATCACAGGATAGATAGCAATGAATACGGATGTGAATGCTTGAGGAAGTGTCACGTGACCTATGGAAAATTTTTCGTTATCCATAAGAAAATAATATTATGAACTTCAAAAGTGGTCATGTGGAAAATTTCAATACATGCTATCATTCATATTCTAAACAGATAAAGAACCTCAACAGATTCTGTAATTACGTAGTAGTTGGACGTCGTATTCCTTTTATCAGTGTCACAGACAACTTTCCATTTTCCAGAGCCAACTACTTCTGGACGTTGGAAACGGTAGGCTAAAAAAAAAGGTTGCATTTTTTCCCAGATCTTACTGCGATCCCGTTATTTATCTTTTTCCACCAGATGGTAGGTCCAACTATGTATCGTCCTATATGGTAGCTTTCACCATGTACATAGTAGAGGATGAAATACAGACTATTGTACAGTCTGGTGGAGGTTGCAAGGTTAACAGACATTTGGCTGTTCATTTCATGGAACCTTGCTGGAAGCTTTCTGTTAATACAAGTGAAGAAGTTTTGTGTATTATAAATTTGAGTTATCGCAGCAATGGCTTGCATCAATTTCTTGGAAAGATTAGTATGGGCAAAGCTTAATCTTGCTGAGCGGACTATACTAGAAGAATTTTTATGGAAAAGAGAGAGAGTCGCGACCAACCCCCGATCCCACTAATTGTGGAGAAAGGAAAATTCGAATAATTGAACCATTTTCGCGATTTGTCCCGGGCTAGCTGGAAAATACGCCAAGGTAGGTATTTCAGGATACGTGTTCGAGTTGGACGGTCAGGGGGGTATTCACGACCTGCACCACTGAATGCCGTCACCGTTGTAATTGTTTCGTGTTCGTTTTGTTGGGAGCTACGTTAAAGTACACAGATCCCCGGGGATCCACCCTTAACCCTCTGATTGATTGAATAAAATAGTTAGCTTGAGATAAGTCGATGGAGGTTAATCTTTTTAATTTTTCCGTATTTTGAACATTTCGGCCCTTTCCCCGAATCCACCTCTCTCTCCTTAGCCTAGCATACTGAGCAGCGCAGGCCCCCGTTACCTCTTCCTTGACCACTTTACTGAATTAGGTTTAGGTTCGGTTTAGCGTTACGTTTTGGCCCTTTTCGTTAGTTTTAAATTGTCCAGATGCTGATTCCTCGAGGGAGAAAAATGAGCTGGCGCCCGACAACGTTTTAGGTCCCACTTTCAGTGCTTTTTTTGTATCAGCGAGGAGGCTATAGGCAGGAAAAGCGCAGTGGTTGGGCATTTTCGGTCGATTAGAAAATGTCATTTCACAATAGATTTTAAGTTAAGCTGAGAGGAGTCAGTGCCTTTGAAGAAATATTTCCACTCACTGGCATCTACGCACAATTCGGAGTTGTTAGATACTTTTTTGATAAGAATTAAAAATTTAAGTTTATTCTTTGAAGCAGTAGCGTACTTCACAATTTCATAAGTAACTAATTAAACAAATGATTTAGTGTTTATTCATTACACAGTAACAATTACGATATTCTCCTCGTAATTTAATTTCATAAGCAATGTGATGCTTATGAATTCCTTTCCAAAAATTGGAATTCATTGTTAATATTTGAGTTTAAATATTATACGCAACCGAAAAATTTTAATTATAAATTAATTCTACATGTGAGATATTATAGTTACTACGTCGTTATGGTATTAACAAATAAACGTGTTTTAAATAACGTATTACGGCTCATATTTTCACTGAATCACGCGAGGAGTGACGCGAGTTCATTGCTATGATTCAAGAGCAAACCTCAGCACTCTTACGGTGTCACTTGAGTCCAGTTTTTCCGAAGAGAGCTGTCTGACTATGTTGAAACAATGTCAATGATGACGATTGTCTATACTAGTACCCTCGGACTACTTAGGTTGACGTTTTTGAGTCCTCAACGCTCCACGGGGCTCCTCGAAGAACACAGAACGATCAGGAGTTAGATGGAGCCGATCTCCAGGCTCACCAAAAAATAACCGATCAGTTTAGACTCGCGAATACCAGTCTAGTATAATCACTATTATAAACACATAATAAACAATATACGAGTTGCTTCTATCTAATAACTGGAAGTGTTCTGGAGTGTCATACTTCCCATAAAATATCCAATCATTCCCAACAGGAGTGCATCCCGCGGGGAGTTCAGCCAGCAGAAAGGGGTCTAACGGCCCTAGGTTGAAACAGGAGGGGACTGAAGCCGACTATATAATTCGGAGAAGATAGTCGCCTTTATACAGAACAGTAGTTCATTATCTAAGATTAACGCAGTGGATGGCCTACCGCAAAACGTTACAAACCACAGTCGAATATTTGTGAGTTACCATTTAACAATTGGAATCGATTGTAATTATTTTAATTTCAATGTGTAACGTCCGTCAGAAACTCATTTAAATTCATTTTCTTATGGCGTGATTCGATTATGGCGGTAATAAAAGATTTTTGTTTCTTCCATTCTGACCTTTTCGGCCTCCTTTTCTTAGCTAATTGGCCCTATTTCACTCTATGCATACGGCTGTGGATCCTACACTTTACTGTATTCACTCTCCTACAGATCAGGCATGCGCAACTTCCAGGTAGCTCCGAGCAAAGTCATTGTCTCGAAATAGAAATCCACTAAAATATATAACCATGCCAATTGCAAGAGTCCTAGTACGATCATAGTAGGGACAATAGTCGGGGGCCCATCTTGAAAGTATCTGCAAAATGGTAAAGTAAGAAAAATAGCCGCCACGATTAATAAAAAAGAAATTTAAAAATCCAAAACCTGGACAAAAATATTTTCTGAATAGAGTCATGTCTGGATTCGTGAAATTTTGGAATTCGTTGAAATTATGCCATCTCTGTGAATTAATTAAATTCTGCGAAGTTAGTTTTTTTCTAATAATATTTGTGCCCACTCTTGGCCATTGAATTGAATGAAGGTTATAGGCGATGCTACGTGGTTCCTTTATTATTTATTAGCAAACTTGGAAACAGATCCCTTCCATTGATATGGCTCTTTAGCTCCCTCCAATAATTTTCCCTCTATTTTTTAATTATTTTATATGGAATTTGAATGCATTTGAAGCTAAAAAGATGAAATTTAAACAAAAGTTAATATTCTATGGACAGTCCATCAGTGTGGTAATCAATTTTATTTCATGAATAAATAATTTCGGGAGCACTGGAACATGACATTTTATTAGTAAAATCAGCTTTCAAAATGAATAAAAACGTGATAAGAATGAAAAGGGAAAATTTTCGATTTTCGACTTACTTCCCCGCTTTTCCTTTTCTTCAGCGTGATTTCCCCTCTCTTCCTCTTCTTAAGACCACCACTTCCGTTGATTTCAGAATAGAAGAGCCTTTACCACCCTGGTCGATCGGGCCTATCACCCGATACAATAGGCTCTCGTCTACCCTTTGTTACGCGCTAATAGAGGTTGGGAGCACGACTTGCTCTCAGAGGAGAGGTTGCCCATACTTGCTCTAGATTATAGAAGTGACATGGGAAACCACAGGAAAAACCATGTTGGTACAGGCGGCTGCTCTATTAGAAACCTCCCGCGCATTCGTGCCTGTTAAAAAATTCGATTCATTGAGGAATCGAACCTACAGCGGTCAAAATACTAGGCTTGCATCTAGCCACTGAGCTACCGACATCGGTGGAATATATTTTTGAAACCCTAGTTACCTTTTATGACCGAAGGAAAAGGCTTCTTGATGTTTATAAATATTTCAGCTGTACACGCCTGGGAGCGATAAAAACATTCCAAACGTCGAGTTTCTCCAAATAAGGTACGACGTAATTTTCGGAGGCTCACGGAACCCTCCGTCCATTAGCCCGGCCTCTGGCACCAAAATCCCAACAGAAAAAATCAAAAATCAAAAATCAAAATTGTTAGGCGCCAGAGCAATTTTAAGGGAATGACCGTCGTATCAAAATCCTTCTCCACTTTCAGCTCCAACTGCTCCAGTAGCTCATACGTAGAGATTTAAAATAATCGGAAGCTGAAAGGGAATGAAACTCGGATTGACAAAAAAAATTACTGAATAAAATAGTAAATTGTCGGAGAGAACACTTTTTCATCAATAAAAAAATCAGTCTCGATACATAAAAAAAAAATAAATAAATTCCCGTAAATCCACTAAGCGATACTGCACACAATTTAATTTTTCAAAATCACTTTCGTCAATTTAGAATTAAACAGATATTTTCTGAAGTCTTGTTTGTTGAGGTAACTGTTGAGTAGGGTGGATCGGGAGAAATTCAGGAAAAACGCAGTGATTTTGTAAATTGTATTAACTCGCGGAAATTGTCACATACAACGATTATTAATTAATTAAAACGCGTGGTCAATCTCAATGCGGTTTTTTACAATGATTTACAAGTGGATTTTTGTTGATGTACAAGTGAAATGTTGAGTTAATTGTTGAATGTGTTGATGTACAAGTTGATTTTGTTGAATTAATAGTTGAATGATTAGGTGAGTTTACTCGTTGAGTTTCGTTGGGTGTACGGTGAGGATCAGATTAGATATAGATGTTATCGCGTTCACTGTAAGATACGAACAGAGATCGTTGAGAGGGGTGATTTTGCGTTTGATGGTTTGCTGATGACCGTTGACCGATGGGTCTCGATCATTTCCAGATTTTCCCGATTTATATTTTTGGTGAAAAGCCACCCATATTTATCTCCATTGTAAACAGTCTAATAATGTTTATGAA